TGAGTTCATATAATCAATACCGAGTGTTCAGTAATAACGAGCGTGGCCTTTTCAAAGCAGGAAGCGAGCTTGTGTTCAGTTTCTGCAACATCCCCAAAAAATTAACCCGGTCCAATAATTACAGTAGAAAGGCTCGAAGATAAAGTCAGTGCAGTCCGTTGTGAGTCTTCTAGCAAGGGTCAAATTACAAAATCACTCATTTTGTGGGCATGAACTGAGTACAAAAATTGTTTTAACAACCACAAAAGTATGTGTGAATGAAAGGAGGTATAAACATCTGCAGTTCGTATGTAGCACATACGATGTTTGGCATCTTTTTACGGCAATAAAAACACGGAATATTTTGTTGCCATTATTGCTAGAAATGCTGCAGAAAATAAAACACAGAATCTTAACTTAAGAATGATGGTGTATGACTAACCATGTGAGGTTGAAGAAATGTGGTTATTTAGAAAAGTATTTACAAGCAGCTCATAAACATCTGACATGCACTGTGTATTAATGAAGCATTTTAAGAATGTATAAAGCAACAATGATCGTAAATCTGTGTAAAGAAAATCTCTGTTCTCTGGACTAATGATTTTTGCATGAAAATGTAGAGCAGGGGAGACGGAGGCATGTCCTATCTTGACTTGGCACCACAGATGTTTGGTTGATCTTTATGAGAAATATTTAATGAATATCTTGAGTGTCAGTGTTAGCAAGCACTGGTCTACAGATTATTATTATTTATATAGCGCCAACAAATTCCGCAGTGCTGTATAATGGGTGGACTGAAACACATAATTGTAATTTGGACACACGGGAACAGAAGAGTTGAAGGCCCTGCTCAACGAGCTTACATGCTAGAGGGAGTGGGATAAAGTAAAGGTAAGGGTAAAGGTAGAAAACTACAAAAAACACACCGGAGACTTAGTGTTTTTCTTTACCCCAAACACATTCATTGGCTCATAACTGATACTTTTGGATACTGTTACCGATGGAAGACACATAGATGTATTGCCTCAAAGGACAGTGATTAGGAAATATCTTGTCATTTGTTTTCTAACTAAAAACGTTGCAACCTACCGTAAAGCAGGAATAAAGCAGGTAGAAAGCCATAAACACTGCACTGTGCTCCGGCAACAACCAAAATTGTGTGCATCGACTAGTAAAGGAAATAAGCAGAGTACTGAGAATATCTGTATTTTAAATGGCTTGAAAAACAGTTCTCGGTGCCAAAATAAAGGATGAACATAGGGAGGGTTATTTCTAATTCCCAGTACTTATGTGTTCTGTTACAATCAACATTCAAGAATTAGAGATTAGCTCAGGAGCACAACAAACAACTCTGGCTACAGCTCTAAATGTGCCCAGCAAACATTAGGTTAGCCAACAAGCGGAGGCTTTATTATTGATCTGGGTGTATGTATAGGTTTTACCTCTTCTGTTAAATATGTTTCTAAATGGTGGACATACAGGTAGGGATAGGATAGATCCCCTTTGAGCATGTGACTCATGACTATATGACTTGAAGCTTTGAACTGGCAGTATGGCAAACTGGGCAAATGCCTAATAAACAGCAGTGGTCTTGGGCTGATGGCCAACTGGCCAAAAAATCTTCAATGATCCCTGTTAATAATGTGGCCACAGTTTCCTCCTCCCTCCCTGTGGCCACTTATTGGTGAGGGCATAATGCATGTTGTCATAAGAGCATTATAGAGGTCATTACTGCCTCCTGCATGGGCCTCCAATAATTCAGTTCACATATTGGAAGAGACCTCATCATAAAGAAGAACTTATCCTCAAAACTGTAAACTGAGTTTATGGTGGGCAGACTTGTCTTTTAAGTATACTCTCTTTAAAAATTAAGTTATTAAGACTTTAGTATCCAGAGTGTAAAAACGTTAAATGAAGACCATCCACATTCTTGCCCACATGTTTGTCTCTTTGGTGGTCTCTGCATTCTTCTGCTCCTTCCCAGGTAACATAACCAGAAAGAAAAATAGAAATCTGCTTTTCACTGGTTAGTGCTTCTCCCTCATTACCACAAGCTTGTGTCTTTCTCCCAACCTGTCACAAGTCGTGTCACCTTTGTACTTTCACACAAAAACCTTTATTTTTTCCTCTTTTCTTCTACATTTTTAGATTTTATTTCTTCCTTTTTCCCCATGTCCTCACATCATTTGGTCCACCCAGTTAATATTAATTGCTCCTCTTGCTGCTTATGGGTGGCTATGGGTAGGGGCTTGGGGGGAACATTAGGTCCCCCCGTTAATATTATTATTAGCCCCAGCCATATAAACAGATCTTCTGATTTATATTAATTACAGCTACCTACCCCTGACCAAGAGTGGGGGCAATGGAGAAGGTAAGTCTCCCCATATAGTATTTAATTAATTGGCCCCAATGTGATGGCAGGGGGGCACCTCTCCACCGCAACTCTCACAGGTAGAGACATTATGGAACCTGTGCCAGGTCCCTCCTCTATGTAAAAATGACTCACAGCATGGCAAGTGAAGCCATGGGGAGGTCATAAGCCTCCCTTATACTAATGTGGGGGTCATATTGGCTCCTGCTGTTTTTAACTATTTCCCCTCTGGCTGCTACTGCTGCCAGCAGACAAATAATCAACAAAAACATTTATCAAGAGCTTTTTCACTGTCAATATTTTCTGGACCATTTATCAAGGATTATGTTGATAAATTATTCTAAATTATAATATTCTTTCTTTCTTTTCGGTCTTCCCAATGCATACTCAGTTGAATGTGTTCAGTTTATAAATTTCACTTCCTTGTCAGTCTTGCTCATTAAAACGTACACTTTAACTGCAAAAAATAAACTCAAAAAGTGACATACATTACATAATATCAAAGCACAACACAACCCTCTTTGCTCTTATTCTTCCCGAAGCGGCTATAATAAATAAAAATGAAGAAGAATGTACCCTATATTTAAAAATTCCAGGAAAATCGATTAATACAATAAAAGTCTCAAAGATGTAATTGCCTTAGGGACTATCAAATAAAAAGGGGAATGTAAAGCTCCAAAGAGAAGCTAACAACATGAGACTTCTATTTGTCTCCCTCCCCCCCTCCCCAAGGAGAATTAGGATTAAAGAATTTCTATTTCAATTTATGCCTTTGTAATTGAGTTCTATGTATAATTGTTTGTTTGGAAATAGTTACTAACCGAAGACTCGATTTAATATTTTTGGATAAGCGTTTCAAATGGACGTTAATAGTGACTGCTATATATAAATAATTTGAAAAGTTTATCCAAATACATTAAATCAACCCGATGTGAGCAATAAAAAAATATAGAAAATACATTATTGTTCATATTCAGCCCTCTTGCTGAAACATACAGTCATGTGTTTTACTGCAACATTTATACACATCAACTCTTGATTCAATATTTTTAAATATGATTTATAAAATGATTCAATATTTTTCGATAAACTTTTAAAATGATTTTATATTTTAAAAAATATTTTAATATTTTGATATATTTTTTATATGCAATATATTTTTTGATATTTTTATCTATTAAAAAGAAAAAAACTTTTTTCAAAGCTTATCCAAAAATATTTATCTTTTAAGCGTTAATCTATTAAAGTACAGGTACTTGACTTCAAAATGGAAATCCAACATTTTAAATACATTTAACTTTGGGGTAACTAGAACCTCTATAGCAAATGCGGATGCAAAAGGCAGGTCATACTAAGTTGATGAAATTAGCAGTATTTTTGTATCACTACTTCTAGTAGAAAATAGATTCCCATTAACACTTTAAAATGTGGGTTTTCAAAGCAAACACAAGGCCAATGACAGAGTTTCCAAGCATCTGATAAATAATTTTTACCCTGTTTTCTACATTCCTACAGGTGTATCTTTTCATTTTTGAGAAAGTCAAAAAATGCCTGCAGTTCACAAGGTCTGGGCAGTCAGTTCATAGATGAGATTAGATCTAATTTGAGGTTTAAGGTTGTAATGTGGTATGCTACATTATACTATCCACAATTATCTGAAAACACAAGATTTTATTCACAGATCAAGTGTGAAGTGACCAATTGAGGCAGAACAGGAGGAGCAGTAAAAAAAACAAAAAAACCTATGCTTATATATTATATATTAAATAAATATATTTGATTTGATTTGTAAACCAAATGGTGGGTAAATGTGTACTTCGTAATATAAATAGATAATATTTATATTTATAATATTTTATATATATATATATATTTTATAATTATTTATTTTTTATGTGTGTGTTCATATCAAGAGCAATAGTACAGACATACAATATCCAACATAAGAGGGAAACATTGCCATCAGTAAGTGTGTACATGGGGAATCAGCATATTTTTTCTATATTACTAAGCAAGAGGAGCACAGTGCAAGGTTGAGAGAGTAAGATAAAGAGATAAGAGCTTAACACTGTTGATTTAAAAAATAAAATAAAAAAATAAAATAACATGGAGGCCTTCGCCCCACTGACTAGTCTTCAACGCCACACTCATGACCTACCCCTGCAAGGCTGGTCAGAAAGGGGGGTGACCAGAATATCAAAGCTTCTGGGAACAGAGGGGCTTCTACCATTCCCCGACCTCCAACGAAAGTACCTCCTCCCTAACAGAGAAATATTCACATACCTTCATATAAAGCACATAGTTGGGGATGTCAAAAAAGTGACAACACTCTCACAACCCCAAAACCACTTTGATATGTTATGTCTGGGTCACAAAACCCCCCCAAAACCACTCTCCCTATGCTACCACCGCTTACTAGACATAGACAGACCGGCAAAACAGTCCTACATGCTGATATGTGAAATGGAGCTAAATTGTATAATTGAGCCATGCAGATGGATTAGGGCCATGGCACTAGTAAAAAGGGCTACCCGCTGTCTAGACCATGTGGAAGCAGCCTAAAAGGTATGGCTAAGGTGGTACTTTACACCCCAAAGGTTGGCTCAAATATAACCGGGGACTCAGGAGAAATGTTGGCGATGTAGCCAACATGAAGGCACTTAAAAGCCACATATTCTGGTTCTGCCCAGCACTCACCCAATACTGGCAAAGAATCCGAGACCTGATAGTATCCAAAGTAGGGAAGAACCTGCCACTTCCCCCGGAACACTACTTCCTCCACATGCTACTACAGGGTTTCACGGCATACAAAGCAACACTAATCACCCACATCACACTAGCTGCAAAGCAATATATAGCTGCTTTGTGGAAATCCACCCTGGCACCAGACGTAAAGTCGGTGCTCGCAAAAGTGAGTCTTACTCAACAATATGAGAAAATGTCACACACGATCAGCGGAACCCTGGCGCACTATGAGCGTACTTGGTCCAAATGGTAGGAAAGGGACGACATCTGTTAAAAAAACCTAACCTATTAAGGATGTGTAACAAAGAGCATCTCCAGTTTATAGCCCCCCTAAACAAAATATGGGCTTCCGCTCTGTTAGCAAGCCCCTAAACTTGAGATGACCGGTAGTGGAATTAACTCCCATAACGTGAGTGACAGTGTAGGGCATCACTGGTGGAAAAACAACTGTCCACTCCAAATGTTGTTTAAAAGTGTCTAGTTATTGTAGCAACGTACCTATGATATTTTGATGTACCGTTTGAATGCCTAGAATGTGACTGGTTAATATTTTTCTCTCTGAACTCACACTGTACATATAACGCATGTGACTACCACGCAAAGCTTGTTACTGTGCAATATTATGCTGTTACATCTCAAATAAAAAATGAAACATTAAAAAAATAAATAAAGATAAGCAATAACGCTAAGAGTAAATAAAGAGTAAATAATTTGCAATCCAAACACTTTTACTCGATTCCCGACTTGAGAGTGAACTGTTGTGCTCTCAGAAGAAGATCCTTCAAGGGGAGGTAGGCATTGTGTGTGAGCACCGGTAGGTATTTTGCTTACTATTGCCGTCAATCCTCCCTTATACAGTGGTTGCCATCCAGAGGGGTCCCAAGGTCCAGCTTAGTCAGCATAGTTGCCATATGGGTCTTGGCTGAGCCTCCGGTTATTTGAGTTGACATCTTAAAGGCCATGTGGCTCCCCCACACACAGCCGCTCCATATACTAGGAGTAGCGGTGGGTTATCACCTGGGACTCCCAAGGGTCCAAAGGTGGAGGGCAGAGTGCAGAAGAGAAGTCCGCTCTGAATAGCAGGAAGGGTCCTCCATGGACTGCATTTTGTGTCTGAACACATTCCACAGATGCTCAACCGGATTGAGATCTGGGGTATTTGGAGGTCAAGGCAATATCTTGATCTCTTTGTCATGTTCCTCAAATCATTCCTGAACATTTTTATTTTTAAGTGTAGCAGGGTGCAAAACCATGTTAAAAACATCCACTGCCATCACTATTGCCATAAAGGAGCGTATATGGTGTGCAACAATCTCTAGGTAAATGGTACATGTCAAAGTAACATCCACATGAATGATAGGACACAAGGTATACCAGCAAATCATTTCCACCACCAGCCCATAGTGCATTATGCTACCATCTCTTCTCCAGCTAAAAGAAAATGTGATTCATCAGACCAGACAGCCTTCTTCCACTGCTCAGTGGTCCAGTTCTGGTGCTCACGGCTCCATTATAAGCACTTTTGGTGGTGGACAGGTTTCATCATGATCATAGCGAGCACTCTAAAAGGTCTACAGCTATGCAGCCCCATACACGGCAAACTGCAATGCCCTGTGTGTTCTGACATCTTTCTATCACGGACAACATTAAGTTTTTTTCTGAAATTTTAGCTACAGTAGGTCTTCTGTGTGAGCGGACCAGATGCACTCCCCACATGCATCAATAAGCTTTGCACGCCCATAACCCTGACGCTGGTTCACTGATTGTCCTTCCTTGCACCACTTTTGGTAGGAACTCCCCACAAGACTTACCATTTTGGAGATGCTCTTACTCAGCTGTCTAACCATCACTTGTCAAAGTCACTAAGATTTTTTCGCTTGCCAATTTTTCCTGCTTCCAACACATGCAATTAAAGAACTGACTGTTCACTTGCTGCCTAATATATCCCATGTTATTTGAAAGGGATTTGCAAATATATATGGAATTATTTGTATTTTTTTGTGTTGATCCCTAAAATGACAGCTGAATTCAAACGTGTAAACCATATCAGTAAGTGTGGAAATTGAAATTATTTTATCAAATTAGCAAATCTCCCACAATATGTCCTTTAGTGAATAAACCCCAACATTTAGAAGGTTATCACATTAAGAAATCAGACCTATATAATCTGATAAACATGTTTTGCTAAAATTTATATTGTAGTTAAGTACATCAATAGACATATACTATCAGTGATGCAATCTGAGTACATTTAGTGAATCTTCAGCTTCCTTTGTAATCATGGGCAAGCTATGTCACAGGCGGATGTTTCAAATGTTAAATTAATGGATTTTTATTACTAGTTAACTGCCTTCTGCTTAATATCTAACATCTCAAAACTGTCTACATTGTTCCTTCTTATTTACAAAATGTTTATTGGTAGATGAGTGAAGAAAAGCAGGGGTTTCTACATGATTACACAATAAATAAATTCAGACTTTTAAGAAGATATAAATCCTATTGATAATGATAAATTAAACCTACATGTCTAAACACATTTTGTGAAGGGTACATGACCGTTCTTATAAATTTTGTGAAAGTACATTTGTTTACTTATCATCCTCCCGCTTTCCTAAGCAGCAAAATGGACAGAATACCCATCTAATAACCCCACTAGAGACCTTGAAAAACTATATATACATTTTAAACTTTCTTTCTTCACTAATTGTTTAGACATTTTGTTTATAGGGTTTAGAATGGGACCATAACTGTAAAGTTTGAAATTACTGAAAATTAAAACAAACAAAAAAAATCTTTAAAACTGTCCATTCAGTTTTATACAACTTTTTATTCATAAAAAAAGAAAGATAATGTATTTACTCAAATAACCATCTTTATCTATCAGCACAATCAGTAGTTTGGGGTATCATACTGATACACTGGGCCTAACTTATATCTTAAGTGCCTGCAGACATGGAATTCTCAGGAGCCCCCAAAAGATCTATTGCTCTATTGCTTATTACATAATTTGGAGAGCATGCAAGATAGCCAGGATGAATAGCTCTCCCTCCAGTTCTTTGCAAATGCAAAAAATACAATTACCAAGAAGCAAAATGAGAAACTACATCTAAGAAGGCGACAAAAAGAAAGTTATTAAAACAGCAGGAGACCACTAAGTCACTCTGAACAAAGTCAGGTGTCCAGTTATGGCCTGCTGTTAAAAGTACCAGGTAGAGATTCCAGGGATCTCAGGGGGCCTAACCCCAAATCTTACTGAAAAAAGAGGCACTTGGCTCAAAGGGCAAAGCAAATGATAAATATGGTCACAGCCAAAAAAGGTGTATGTGACTCACTGTATCTCCTGGAGAGTGAGTGATACAAAGTGTGTATATCTAGAGTATGAGTGAGTAGAATGTCACTCAAAAATAATTTGCCATAGCAACATAATTAGGATAAAATAGTAGTCTAAATATGGGAGAAAATAATAACAATAAGGTGTGATTACTAACAATTGCTCCTTATATATACGAGTATATAGATATTAGGGTGAGTAATGCTGGGTTACTGTGTTAAGCTAAACAAGCTTTATTCAGTCTGGCTCTATCTAACACACTCCCAGGTATAATTGCATTCTATATACATATATCATAATCCTCCTAGGTATATCCACCTATATCTAAAGGTCCTGGTATATCTAAAGATAGTCATCTATATATATATGTGACTGAGTGGAACAGTCTCAAGAGATATGACGTCCAAAGGATCCACTTATCAGAAATGCTGTGTATACATACTATCAAAAGGAATCCTTAAATTTAAAAATAAAAAAATAAATAATAAATAAACAGGTAGAGGTACAGGCTCTCATTTAGTTATATCCAGCAAATTGGCAGCTGCATATATCTAAGAAGGAAAAAACTCCACGTTTGTACCCCGGATAGGAGCCCCTTCAAAACAGGTGCCTGTAGTCAGTCGCCTACTCTGCCAACTGGCAAATCTGATCCTGCTGTTACTAACCTAAAATGGAAAGCAGTCTTTTAGATAATGCTCTTTGGCCAAGCTCGTGAACTTATTTCCCAGAATTTAGTTTTCTATCTGTCTCATCTGTTTCTGTACTTTTTCTTCTGCATTTTTTATTTTCACCTTCTGCTACCCTTTTCTCCTCTCGTCGAGGGTCTTAATTTCACACAAGACAGGTTCATTTGGCATTCATAGTGTCCTCAGCCATTCGGTCCAAAGACGAACCGCATATACCACACTCTTCCTATCCAACGGAAAGTTGGAAGTGATTTTGTGCATACAATACTATGTAAATAGCTCATTAAACCAATGTTACAGTGCATAATATTGTACTATTATTTCTATTGTAACTGAGACCTAACATGACTGTATGGGGTCACCTCCAGTAACTGAGACCCTTCAATACAGGAAAATGTGTTTTATTAAATTCTGTTTTACTCTGTATAATATATTATTATATGCAAACTAAGTGTGGCTTGCATCAAACAAGAATAATAATGATGATAATAAAGAGTTAGCAACTACACCAAAACACAGAAACACGAACATAACAACAGAATTGCTACAATGTGCTGCAAATATTTAGAAAATGTTTTGTTAGCAAAAAAAGAATGATCTACCCTACAGATGAACTTTTTCTCGGGGAACATATTCTATTTCAGATTAATTTCCTCAACTGAACCTGCAGCCACTACTTCCCCAGAAACCAAATTCCTGTTGTAAATAAGGAATTAAAAAAAAAAAAGGTAATACCATCATGCTTGTCCAAGTCTAACCGCACTGCAAATTGGCATTGCTTTATTTCATATTATGTAGCATTTGTTTAATTCATATATTTTTATATATTTACAAAAAAAAAAATTAATAACTTCTGATTCACCCATTCATAATTTATATTGTTCATGAAAAGAGGTTTGATTTCTGACACTCATAGCATAAAGGATGGCAACAGTTTATAATGCCTTTTGAGACAGTAATAAAAGTGATGATAACAAGTGTCATAATAATTAGGGGGATTGTTGGCAGGGGGGCATTTTTGGCTGTGGCTCCAAAATTGATTTGACAAGAGATTAACATGACACGTCTCATCCCTTTTAGCGTCTAATAGATCAGAACTTTAATATATCTATTAAGAGAGAACTTGGCTATGTCTGCTGGTCCCCTTCCTACATCTCAGGAACTCCAGTCCTGACCTCTCTTGATCATAAAAGTCGTCTGGAATGCAAAAATTGTAATTTGTTGTTTCATCAATTA